ATATATATATATATATATTATATATATATATATATATATATATATATATATTATATATATATATATAATAATATATATATATTATATAATTCATTTATTTGATAACTGGCACATATGCAGGAGTCTTCAAGAGGAAACTTACTTGACAAGTTTCTGCAGGAGGTGCCTGATCAGTTGGGCTGTAAAAGGGTACATAGGCCCTGCAGGCTGAAGTTGGCAACAACCTACCCAGTCAAGTAGGCACCAGGGAAGTCTGGCCATAGGCCCAAGTGCAGGAGTAGAACTCGCAAAACCATCATAGACATGGGAAACTCATAATGCACATTTGAGAAAATTGCTTTCTAAATTTGCCACTGTGTGCAATGCTAAAGAAAAAAAATAACTAATTATAAAGTCTTACCTGTAGGCAGATCCTGGAACTGTAGCCTCAGCAACCCAGTCATTGACCAGCCTCCCTGTTGACACTTTGATCAGTCAGGCAGGTAGTGCTTGCTGCATGCACCACAGCCCAGCTGATCAGCAATTTCTTTCAGAAACTTAACAAGCTTCCTTTTGAAGACAGATGCAAATTATGATATACTTTATCTTTTTACCTGCTGCACTTCAGAGTACAATTTCAAAGTTCTCTGTAACCCAGTAATTTAGGTATTTCAATTTATATAGGCAGTGAAATTTCTGTATGTTCTTCAGTTCTTTCACTTCCCTTAAATGGGGATATTAGTGTAGCAGTAGTCCAATCTAAAGAATACAAGTGTTACAATAATGAAATCTGTGTCTGTCTATATTCAATAGGAGAGCAAAAAAAAAAGGGGAAATTGGAGTTTAGGAATGTGCTTTAAAGAACTTCAATGTGGAGGCCTATTTCCTTTATTATTCTCTAAGTCCAACTTCTTGGAATATTGAAGGGACACAGCTGAAAGACTAACGCTATTTTCATCAAAGTTCCTCGAGGCATTTGCATAGAGAAAAACGGTCAACACATGGCCAGGAGCAGATTTTCTCCTGTTTGAAGATAGACTTTCATTTAGACACCCTCTTCCAAGATGGTAGTCTAGCCAGCATTAGGATGTAATCTAGTGTATTAGTCCTTGTCTGTGATGGCCTTGAGCTGAGCAAGAAAATACTAGTCTGCTTGCTGACCTGCAGATGAAGACTAGCTTGACCTGAACACCATGTAATCCATACCTCATCTTAAACACTTCAAGCAACCACTGGTAGCAACATGTGTATCAACACAGATAGCAACATGTGTATCAACACAGATAGTAACATATGTATAACACAGGTAGCAACATGTGTATCACAATACTACTTTCACTACCAATGCTTTCAAATGTAACTTAGCTTCTGTACTTTAGAAGTTACTGTCCAGAGGTACGTCTATCTGATGCTCATCCTCAATTCCCAAGTTCAGTCTTCCCTCCCTCTTTGGTAAATTGGCGTTATGCACAAAAGATGCCGCCTTACCAACTGCTGTACTGACTGCCATACTTTCCCAAATCTTCTCATTTTTGTTCTGTTTTATGTACCACACCATGTCAGTAATAAGTACTCTAGGCTGTACTCTCATGTCCACCCATATGTGGACCTCTGACCATTAGTGTCACACGACTTTCCTTAAATCAGCAGGGATACGCCGCCCAGCACGTCTAGATCAGGGCAGGCATAGAGGGCAGACGTGAAGATGATTCATACTGTACCACAATGTATCAACAGTGACTGCTGTTTGGGCCCTAGGAAGCACATCCAACAACTCCACTTATTTCATTTAATTTCATCACAACCTTCTTTTAGGATCAGACTCATTTGGCCATTCATTACAAGCATGATTAATGTTTTTTAGTACAGCAGTGAAATTAGTGCATTGGATGAATCTATGGGTTTGCAATGCGAGAACCACACAGGCAAGGAACAAACACCAGAACTGCATTACAACTACAATGCAAGCAACACTGTCCCAATTCTGGATAGCATTCATATGTTATAAAATATGTCACACCTGTAAAATATTAAAATTTGTACATTAAATAAAATACATTTGGTATTTCTTCACAAGTCCATCTTTCATGGGTCACACAAAAATTGGCAAATTTTATAAAATGTCCATGAGAGATCCACAAGAAAAATGTTGATATTCAAAATTCTCCAATTCAGATCCTGAACATTTCGAGTGAGTACTGTACTTTCAAAATTCTTTATCTTCACACTTTTGCATATTTATGTATGAAACACAGACAACTCATACAGTCCAACTTCTAATGGACTAAACAAGCAAAGATATTCACCCAACAAGACTCAGGAACTGATTACTTTATCTACTACCTCCAGTTTGAACACCTTCAAATTACCTCTGTATGACTAATTCTGAAAATTAACAGTCTAATGAATAAGACACTTGGGAATCTTCGTAATAAATTTGGTAAAGTTACCAACAATATGTTAGGTAAAAGGACACAAGTGCAACTAATGTGACATTTTATTGTGGCAATGTTTCGCTCTCCAGGAGCTTTGTCAAGCTGTTACTGGCCTGACAAAGCTCCTGAAGAGTGAAATGTGCCCACAATAAAATGTCACATTTGTTGAACTTGAGTCCTTTTACCCTGGGTATCTTTATTGTATGAGCGAGGTGAAAGTGTTGAATGATGATGAAAGTATTTTCTTTTTGGGGATTTTCTTTCTTTTTGGGTCACCCTGCCTCGGTGGGAGATGGCTGACTTGTTAAAAAATTTTTTTTTTTTTTCCAACAAGTCGGCCGTCTCCCACCGAGGCAGGGTGACCCAAAAAAGAAACAAAATCCCCAAAAAGAAAATACTTTCATCATCATTCAACACTTTCACCACACTCGCACATTATCACTGTTTTTGCTCAGAATACAACAGTCTAGAAGCATATACGTATAAAGATACACAACATATCCCTCCAAACTGCCAATATCCCAAACCCCTCCTTTAAAGTGCAGGTATTGTACTTCCCATTTCCAGGACTCAAGTCCGACTATATAAAAATAACCGGTTTCCCTGAATCCCTTCACTAAATATTACCCTGCTCACACTCCAACAGATCGTCATGTCCCAAGTACCATTCGTCTCCATTCACTCCTATCTAACACGCTCACGCACGCTTGCTGGAAGTCCAAGCCCCTCGCCCACAAAACCTCCTTTACCCCCTCCCTCCAACCTTTTTGAGGATGACCCCTACCCCGCCTTCCTTCCCTACAGATTTATACGCTCTCCATGTCATTCTACTTTGATCCATTCTCTCTAAATGACCAAACCACCTCAACAACCCCTCTTCAGCCCTCTGACTAATACTTTTATTAATTCCACACCTCTAATTTCCACACTCCTAATTCTCTGCATAATATTTAGATTGGTGGATGAATTTGGTAGGGTGTGCAAAAGAAGAAAATTAAAAGTGAACACAGGAAAGAGTAAGGTTATGAGGATAACAAAAAGATTAGGTGATGAAAGATTGGATATCAGATTGGAGGGAGAGAGTATGGAGGAGGTGAATGTATTCAGATATTTGGGAGTGGACGTGTCAGCGGATGGGTCTATGAAAGATGAGGTGAATCATAGAATTGATGAGGGGAAAAGGGTGAGTGGTGCACTTAGGAGTCTGTGGAGACAAAGAACTTTGTCCTTGGAGGCAAAGAGGGGAATGTATGAGTATAGTTTTACCAACGCTCTTATATGGGTGTGAAGCATGGGTGATGAATGTTGCAGCGAGAAGGCTGGAGGCAGTGGAGATGTCATGTCTGAGGGCAATGTGTGGTGTGAATATAATGCAGAGAATTTGTAGTTTGGAAGTTAGGAGGAGGTGCGGGATTACCAAAACTGTTGTCCAGAGGGCTGAGGAAGGGTTGTTGAGGTGGTTCGGACATGTAGAGAGAATGGAGAGAAACAGAGTGACTTCAAGAGTGTATCAGTCTGTAGTGGAAGGAAGGCGGGGTAGGGGTCGGCCTAGGAGAGGTTGGAGGGAGGGGGTAAAGGAGGTTTTGTGTGCGAGGGGCTTGGACTTCCAGCAGGCATGCGTGAGCGTGTTTGATAGGAGTGAATGGAGACAAATGGTTTTTAATACTTGACGTGCTGTTGGAGTGTGAGCAAAGTAACATTTATGAAGGGGTTCAGGGAAACCGGCAGGCCGGACTTGAGTCCTGGAGATGGGAAGTACAGTGCCTGCACTCTGAAGGAGGGGTGTTAATGTTGCAGTTTAAAAACTGTAGTGTAAAGCACCCTTCTGGCAAGACAGTGATGGAGTGAATGATGGTGAAAGTTTTTCTTTTTCGGGCCACCCTGCCTTGGTGGGAATCGGCCAGTGTGATAATAAAAAAAACTAAAATATTTACACCACACATTGCCCTTAGACAGGACATCTCCACTGCCTCCAGCCACCTCCTCATTGCAGCATTTACATACGTACATACATATACATACATAAATAATTGTTTTTATTGTTTTTTTTACTATTTTGGTCTTTTAAGGCTACTTACAAGGAATACTTGTAATACTGTAATTATTTCAGAGTGTAATACTCCTCAAAATATGGAAATAAGTCATATTGTTTGACTTTTACTGGGTAATCCTGAGTTAAATATACTTTGTGTGCTTTGTGACTGAATTCCACTGCTAGTAACATGAAATTGTAATAAAATTGGGATAAGTCATCTTTGTGCCACTTGCACAGCCTTACTTTTGCCAGTGAGGCACACTAGCATGTCAAACGCATAGTCATCACCTAAGTAGTTAGCTACGATATACTGTGTAGACCCTGCTGGCCTTATTCTTTTTTTTTTTTTTCAAATATATGAATAGCCTGAAGAAGACCCAAAGAGTTGACCAGATGTCAAAAATGTTGGCAGGTGGCACATCTGAAGGTACAAAAAATCGTGCATACCAGTACGTCGGACAACATTTGCATACTAGTACATCAGACAGACAACATTTGTGTACTAGTACATCAGACACAGTTTAAGGGCTAGAAGAGACCTAATTTCCTACCTGTGTTGATGGTTATTCTCCGCTCTCTCCTCTGTCCACTTGTAAAACAGTAAAGATGAAACCAAGGCTGCTCCTCCTTCCTGTCTCGCCACACAACAATCCACCGACTGTTACACCTGTTGGTAATTTTAGAGGTTGGTTAACTTGGTAGCAACTGGGGAACTTTGCCAGCCCACATTGCAGAACACTGCCACATTTGTAGTATGAAAAGTGGATACCTACTTTTCTTCATCTACCTGTGGCACTTCTTTCCTAAATTCTTTTCTTCTGCTTGTATATATACAGTGGCTATGCAAATAACCCGCACATAGAAGAGAGGAGCTTACGTTGACTTTGTAAATGGTCTAAGTCGGACTGAAACATCGTTGTAAGTTTCTTTCTCCTATATATCGGGTTATTTGTGCATTGTTCCAGTCACAGTATTGTGCCTTTTTCTATATACAGTGGTTATTGATGCAATCAGAATTTCTCTACACATTTTTGCTTCTCAGCAGAGACAAATGGTGCAATGGCAACAAGTGGTGAAGACACAATGGTAGAGAAGAACTTTCGCCAAGATGTTTTCTCCAGTGGCCAGCTTGCCCACCAGCAAAACATCCCAATAAAGTTTCTCTCTGCAACTGCATCTTTTCCACCACTTCTTTCCTAAGCCAATATGCACACACTGACACACACACACACACACACACACACAGTAAGAAAATTGGAAAAAACAGGAAATTGGGGAAAATAAATTTAATCAAGATTTAACACACAAATATCAATACATTAATCAAAAAATATTTGTGCTAAAGCATATTATAAATGAGAAACAAAGCTGACAGTATATGTGAAACAAACCGGAAAAACATTCTTAGCGAGAAAGAATAAAACATCACAATTGCTTCGCTGAAACAAAGCACAAATAACCCCCTACATGCGCATTATTTATGTATCTGAAGTGAAGCAGCAAAAAAATTGGTGGGCAATGGCCAATGTGTTAAAAAAAGAAATAGTAGCACAAGATAAAAGTATGCAAATAACGTGGAAAACCTAATGTCCAAAATTCAAAACAAAGACCAATAAGCTCGTCTCTGTATATGAAGACAATCCACATTTAAAAACAAATAAAAGAGTAATACGTACAGTGGACCCCCGGCTTACAATATTATTTCATTCCAGAATTATGTTCAGGTGCCATTACTGAACGAATTTGTTCCCATAAGGAATATTGTGAATTAGGTTAGTCCATTTCAGACCCCCAAACATACACGTACAAACGGACTTACATAATTGGTCGCATTGGGAGCTGATCGTAAAGCGGGGGAATAGTGATAATGAAAATACAAATGTCAATGTAACTGGAGCTTTCAACTACATTACTGTATAAAGAAACAGACTAGATAGCCAATGAGGCTGGAACGGGGGCATAGCTATTATGAAACTAATGAAGGTTAAGCATCAGGGGCCCCTAATCCCAGAGGGGCCCCCAGAAGCAACTAAAGTCTACACTGCTTGAAAATTCTGGGTCTACTGTATGAGTAGGGGTTGCAAAGGGGCCCCTATAACAGTTCAAGCTTCAGGGCCCCAAAAATGTTGGTCCACCACTGGACTGGAATGTGAAACAAAGTGTCAGCAAAAATTCTCTGAGTCATGAGAGTAATGCCTTAACACATTAAAGAAGTGGCTAGTGTGTGAGAAGTCAATACCTGACTTTAGTATAATACAGTGGAACCCCGAGTTTTCGTGAGCCTCACGCTTCATGAATTTCGGCTTTCAGCAACTTTATCGTCAAAATAAAGCCTTGCGGATCGTGATTTTCCCTCACGATTCGTCCGTCGTAAGGAATGCGTCTCTGTGTGGCCGGGAGTGGCTGGGCGTACACAAAGGCTCCCACAAAACACTCAGGAGTCAGTTTGGCATTGATTGTGGGCAAGTGACCATCACTCCACACGTTCATACGATACATTTCGTAATAATCCATTGTTTTTTGTGCTTGAAACTGCTAAATAAGCACCATGGGCCCAAAGAAAGCTTGTAGTGCCAGCCTTTAGTAAAGAATGTAAGAAACATGATAGAATTCAAGAAAAAGTTTGTAGAAAAATACAAGTGGTGGTGGTAGTGATAGTGGTAGAGGATGGTAGAGGTTATGATGGTGGTAGAGGGTGGTAGTTATAGTGGTAGAGGGTAGAGCTGCAAGAGCTCGCTTTATGAAAGGGGATTCCCCTTTATGGAAGGAGATTCCACTTTCAAACAATAGTGTAACTTCTCCATCCTCTCCCGTCTTCCATTCACCAACAAGAGTGTTATTCTTTATTTCTCAATCTTTTCTGTATGTAAATCTACATTTAATCTATAAAAAAATAATTTTTGTTAATACTTTTGGGTGTCTGGAATGGATTAATTGGATTTACATTATTTCTTATGGGGAAAATGGTTTCGACATTCATGAATTTCAACTTTGGCAGACTCTCTGGAACAGATTAATCATGAAACTCAGGGTCCACTGTATTTGAAAAATGAGGTCATATTCTACTGGAAATAACATTATATATATATTTTTTTAACAAGTCTGCCGTCTCCCACCGAGGCAGGGTGACTCAAAAAGAAAAAATCCCCAAAAAGAAAATACTTTCATCATTCAACACTTTCACCTCACTCACACAATCACTGTTTTTGCAGAGGTGCTCAGAGCACAACAGTTTAGAAGAATATACGTACAGTGGACCCTTAACTAGCGATGGCATCGATTAACGATAAATCTGACTAGCGATACATTTAAACGCAAAAATTTTGCCTCAACTAGCGCTTAAAAACCCGACCAGCGCTATTCGTTCCGTACCATACGCGTCCACTTTGGCCTGAGCGCGCCTCACTTGTCCCTTGGGTGTCAGTGTTTACAAGCCAGCCAGCCACTGCGGTCGCTTCCAAACATACAACAACTGGAACATTTCATATTATCACAGCCTTTGTAGTGATTGCACCTGCAAAATAAGTCACCATGGGCCCCAAGAAAGCTTCTAGTGCCAACCCTACAGCAAAAAGGGTGAGAATTACTATGGAGATGAAGAAAGAGATCATTGCTAAGTATGAAAGTGGAGTGCGTGTCTCTGAGCTGGTCAGGTTGTATAATAAACCCCAATCAACCATCGCTACTATTGTGGGTAAGAAAACGGCAATCAAGGAAGCTGTTCTTGCCAAAGGTGCAGCTGCTGCTGCACCACAGTCAGCTGTTGTTGTTGCTGCACCACAGTCAGCTGTTGTTGTTGCTGCACCACCATCAGCTGTATTACTCGAAGATGTGGAGAGAGTGTTGTTGGTGTGGCTTAACGTGAAACAATTACCGAGAAACGATTAACCCCGGAGGGTTAGCCACCCAGGATAACCCAAGAAAGTCAGTGCATCATCGAGGACTGTCTAACTTATTTCCATTGGGGGTCCTTAATCTTGTCCCCCAGGATGCGACCCACAACAGTTGACTAACACCCAGGTGAACAGGAAAAAATGCCTGGAACTAGTGCTCATATTGGTGAGGTTAGTGGGGAGGATGTGGAAGAGTTGGTGGAGGAGGACAATGAAGAACAAACCACTGATGAGCTGCTAGATCATCTTCAACAGTAAGAGGTCACACCTGAGGAAACTGCTTCGGAGGAGGGGAGAGAGAAATTGAAGAAGTTGCCTACTTCAAAGATTAAGGAAATGTGTGCAATGTGGCTTAAAGTGCAAACCTTTTTTGATGAAAATCACCCTCACACAGCTATTGCAAGCCGTGCTGGTGACTATTACACTGACAATGTTGTGAAACACTTTAGGATAAAGGAACGAGAGGTACAGGCCTCTATGGACAGATATGTTGTGCGACAGAAGTCCAGTGACTCTGAAGCTGGTCCTAGTGGCATTAAAAGAACAAGGGAAGTAACCCCAGAAAAAGACTTGCTGCCTCAAGTGCTAATGGAAGGGGATTCCCCTTCTAAACACTAACAAGATCAACGGTCTCCCCTCCTCCCATCCCATCAATCATCACCAGATCTTCAATAAAGGTAAGTGTCATGTAACTGTGCATGTCTTCTTCAGTTTGTGTGTATTAAAATTAATATTTCATGTGGTAAAAAAATTTTTTTTTCAATACTTTGGGGTGTCTTGCACGGATTAATTTGATTTCCATTATTTCTTATGGGGAAAATTAACTTCACTAACGATTATTTTGATTAACGATGAGCTCTCAGGAATGGATTAATATCGCTGATTGAGGGTCCACTGTATAAAGATACACAACATATCCCTCTAAACTGCTAATATCCCAAACACCTCCTTTAGAGTGCAGGCATTGTACTTCCCATTTCCAGGACTCAAGTCCGGCTATATAAAAATAACCGGTTTCCCTGAATCCCTTCACTAAATATTACCCTGCTCACACTCCAACAGATCGTCAGGTCCCAAATACCATTCGTCTCCATTCACTCCTATCGAACACGCTCATGCACGCCTGCATATATATTGCTAAACATAACTTCTGAGGAGGAAAAAAAAAAATGACTAAACATTAAGAAAGAAAAATATAATGATCCACACATACAAATACTGTATAAGGAAAGAATTGTACATGGAGTTCTGCAACATCTATGAAAATGGAATCACCTGTTTATTAAAAGAAAAAATTATAGAAAAATGCTGGAAACCCACAACCCCTAACATTAAACACACGGAAAAATATCCTACCATCCCTAACTTTATGCTGCTGACTATCTTGCTGATCTACATGTTGCTTGCACCTCATTTGTGAGGCGAGAACCCAACCTGGACCTGCCATAGTACCAATATACCCTCTACTTCTTAAAAAAAAGAGTGAAGGCTGGCACCCTACTTGCTAGCTAGCCTGTAAACCTATGGGCATACTGAGTGGATATACAGTACAGGTATATGAGGGGGGTCGGAAGGGTAAGTGGTGCACTAAGGAGTCTGTGGAGACAACATTATCCGTGGAAGCAAAGAGGGAAATGCACGAGAGTGTAGTTATACGAACACTCTTATATAGGGGTAAAGCATGGGTGGTGAATGTGGCAACAAGGAGAAGGCTGGAGGCAGTGGAGCTGTCAGTGTGAATATAATGCAAAGAATCTGTAGTTTAGAAGTTACTTGCTAAAAGTATTATCCAGAGGGCTGAGGAGGGGTTGAGGTGGTTCAGGCATTCTGAGAGGATGGAACGAAATAGAATGACTTGGAGAGCGTATAAATCTGTAATGGAAGGAAGGTGGGGTAGGAGGCAGCCTAGGAAAGGTTGGAGGAAGGGTATAAAGGTTTTGTGTGCGAGGGGTTTGAACTATCAGCAAGCATGCCTGAGCGTGTTAGATAGGAGAGAATGGGGACAAATGGTTTTTATGACTTGACATGCTATTGGAGTGTGATCAAAATAACATTCAGGAAAACCAGCAGACTGGACTTGAGTCCTGGAGGTGGGAAGTACAGTGGCTGCACTCTTGAAGGAGGGGTGTTGATATGTTGCAGTGTTTTAAGTGTAGTGTAGGCACACCTCTGGCAAGACAGTGATGGAGTGAATGATGGTGGAAGTGTTTCTTCTGTTTTGGCTCACCCTGTCTTGATGAGAAATGGCCAATGTGTTAATAATAAAAAAAATACAGTATTTGGGTTAGGCTATACGTACTGGCTTTTGTGAGGGGCATCAGTACTCTGCTTCAACTAAATACCTAAACACCAAGGCAAGGTGACCCAAAAACAAAACATTTTCACCATCGTTCACACATAATTACTGTCTTTGCTGAGGTGCCAGATATGACAGTTTAGATGTCACTCCAAACAGCCAATATACTGGATATTTAAAAAGAATGAAAAAGTTCACGAAATCTCGAAAGCCATTCGCCTGTCTTTCAGAAATGGTACGTACAATCCGTAAGGAAGAGTGTCAAGAGAAAGCTCATGCATAATCAGTGAAGCCAACGGCTGTTGATGTTATCACAAGGGTATAGCAAAGGACTGTACAAAACACAAAATAACCCACACATAGGAGAGGAGCTTATGACAATGTTTCGGTCCAACTTTGTAAATGGTCCAAGTTGGACCAAGACAGCAACATAAGCTTCTCTCTATGTGCTGGTTATCTGTGTGCCGGACAACATGGAAACACTTAAGCACATGGATTTAACATCACAGTAAACAGAACATGCCCAAACCATACCATGGGTGGGGTTTGAACCCGCGGTCAGTCTCAAAACTCCAGACCATCGCATTAGCCACTGGGTCTCTCTGACCATGGGTTCAAACCCCACCCGTGGTATGGCTTGTTTGCAATCGTGTCATTACGATTTCGTGAGAACATGCCCAAGTCAGAAAATAATACAACAAAAGGCATTCACCCTTTATTTGACAATTAATGAAAAGAGTCAAGAATACATCACTGCAAATTTTTCCTGCTATATAAGGTTGGTTTAAAAGATTGAATAGAATTAATTCTATGTATAAACTTAACCCTTCTTACCCTCCATGAAGCATATTAAGTTCTTGTAGGTGATAACAGAGATAGATATTTCAAGTTAAGTCAAGATTAGTGTGCACTTCTGAGAATCCAAGCACTATCAAAAATGTTGATAAAATCCCCCTCCCAGTATAATGGCACTCAAACATTAAAGTATAAATACCAGAGTAACTATCTAAGATTTTTTTTCTTACAAAATTACTTACACCAAAAAAAGAGCATTGTTCATAAACATTATTGTTACTTAATAATTTCTCAGGTCATCCAAAGAGTTATTAAATGATCAGAATAATGTTCGAGACTATCACTTATACAAATCAACCGTAGACTCCAACAATAAAGACTTTCTGGATAAAAGACAACATCAAAGATGCCTGTAACAGTATCAGTGACTCCTGCACGCTGGAAAATCACTTTAACCCTTAAACTGTCCAAACGTTTGCTCGCACAGCGCTCAGAACGTAGATTTACGTTTTTTTTTTTTTTTAATGCATTCTTAAGGAGAAAATCAAGGTTGGAGCGCTATGCGCGAAAACGTAGATCTACATTTGGACAGTTGAAGGGCTAATACTCAAAATTATTGCTTAATGAGACAACAATTGATTTTTATTAAATTACATAGTTTTTTTAAATTACAAGACAACCGAAACCCTACTTACCTCTCTCTGCTGAAGTTGAAGTCTGTGTGGGGTGTGGCATGGAGATGCCGTTCATATCTCATCACATTGTGCTGTGATGCTTGGTATCGGTTACGAAACTTGGAGTGCGAGAACAAAAATCTGTCAAGAATACGCGATCTTCTGTTACTGTTTTAGCATCAACAAAAATCCATTAAGACTATGCAATTTTCTGCTAATCACCAAAATTATCTTCATGTCATTTTCTGCATTCAATACAAGGAGCAAGACAGGTTTTTGTTGGGCTAAACTAATCATGTGCAAACTCAAACAGGTGAAACCTCCAAATAAATGTTCACCTTGCTAAAAATACTTTAGTAATTTCCCATATGTTCGCAGCTTGTCATATCAACTAACTATAATGGGGAAGAAACATGGAAAGTTCTCCTTTAACAAAAAATAATTTCGCCCTAGGAAAAGCAAGACGTAGGTGAGTGCACAAAGAAATGAAAAGGAGTTACGAAAAGCAGAAAAGCTACACGTGACAAGCAAGTAAATAAATTATTCTTTTCATCTAACTGCTTAACAAGTCTATGTTAACATGTATGTTACTGAAAAAAGCACATTAGCAGTAAACAAAGAAAAACTTAGACCAAGACAAGATATACATGTTATGAGATACAAGACAGTGTGAACTGTGTAAAGCTATCACACCTCAATGATAACTGCTAACCTCAGTGCTCACCTTCCTAGAGGGGAGCTGATGGCGATAGAATCATAACGAGGGTACATTGGCCCAGGGATTTTTCTGGGAGGACTGGATGAACTTCTCTTTCTGGGAGACATATATGGTTCAATGCCAGTATGTTTGGCTGGCTGTAGACTTAAGTAAGCAAGGAATGGTACCTGAGGAGAATTAAGTTCATGAAATGTCATGTAAGTGTTTAACTCTTTCAATAGCGACTGCAATAAATTGATACAACCCTACATGAGTTAGGCTTAAAATACCATGTTGCAATATTTGTCATATTTCTGGAATTTCTTCTCTATCTGTGGCACACCAACTCTAGCAGACTTTTCAATACATTTATCTCAGAATAATAGTGGGACCCCTGGACCTTACAGTTGGGAGACAAAAATGTTAACCATTGCCTAAAAATCACCTACTAACCTACATCTTCCAGTCGTTTTTTAACCGAGAAGCCTACCTAGTGGAATGAAAAATAAATGGCGGTGAATTTGTTATTGGGCAAAGGCACATCTCATAGAATTCCAACTTATTATGGCAAGATGTTAACTGAGATTCACAGTTCTACATCTGTAGCTCATATAAGTTGTGGAGGAAAACAGTGGATGGAGAGAAGAAACATTCTTCACATGATGACTTGTACCTAGGAGATGCTTGTATCATCTACAAATGCTATCAAAATAGAGAACACACAATTTTCTGTTAACGTGTCACAACCATTTTTTCACATAAAATTTTAACAAACAACAGCAACATGTCTGCTCAGGAAGGAAATTTTGCACCTGGTCTGCATGTTAATGACTTATAAAAAGGAAGAGAGTACAGAGCAAGAAGGTGAGTGAGTGTAGACAAGTGAATGGGAGGGGAAGAGTACTGCTATAACCCTCAAGTTATTGCTGTATCTTTACTCCCATTCACTTATAAAAAAAAAAAAATTGTGGAGATGATACAAATGCAAAATAAAAAGCTATTGCTTAGGACACAGGTGAACAAGCAAAAGTGTACAAGCATACAGTATAGTGGTGCTGAAAGCATAAAGTTGGACGTTTACAAGCAGCACATTTTTTTTACAAACCGGGTTCAAAGGGTAGGTTTGTAATAAAAATGGTAGCTTTAAAATTGTCAAAAGTTTCCAGATTATCTGCCTCTACTGTGCCTTAAATCTATGGTCTTCATAAAATTTGTAAACCTGTTATACTTCTACACTTCATTATTCCTTGTATAATAGCAAGTTTTTAGCATATGGTCCAAGAACCCACTAGGGGGTCCATGAACCAAGAACCCACTAGGGGAGTCCATGAACCAAGAACCCACTAGGGGAGTCCATGAACCAAGAACCCACTAGGGGAGTCCATGAACCAAGAACCCACAGGGGTCCATAACCAAAACCCACTAGGGGGTCCTTAACCAAGACCCACAGGGAGCCATAAAACCCAAAAACCCACTAGGGGGGTCCATGAACCCGAACCCACTAGGGGGGTCCAAAACCAAGAAACCCCCTAGGGGAGTCCATGAACCAAGAACCCACTAAGGGAGTCCATGAACCAAGAACCCACTAGGGGAGTCCATGAACCAAGAGAAAAAATATTTTTTCAGAGTTTCTTCTTGTCAAGTTGAAAATTGTCTTTGTAAGAATTATTTTGGCAAATTCTATTATCAAATTATTACTTAATTCCTAACAAGCATAGTGGTAGAAAATAACACAATACAGTGGAACATCAGTTTTCGTCATTAATTCGTTCCAGAAAGTCTGACGAAAACCAAGTTCGAAGAAAACTGACGCAATATTTCCCATAAGAAATAATGTAAATCCAATTAATCTGTTACAGACACCCAAAAGTATTAACAAAAAATACATTTTATAGAGAATAACTATAGTTTTACATGCAGAAAACGATGAGAAATAAATATAAAGGACTAATGAAATAGATAAATGAACATTTAATATCACTTTTACCTTTATTGAAGACTTTTGTTGGTGTATGGACGACGGCAAGAGAGGGGAGAGGGAGGAGGTTATTTCTATCACCATCACTACCACCCTCTACCACAATCACAACCACTACCACCCTCTACCATCACTACTACCCTCTACCACCATCACTACCACCCTCTACCACAATCACAACCACTACCACCCTCTACCATCACTACTACCCTTTACCACCATCACTACTACCCTCTACCACCATCACTACTACCCTCTACCACCATCACTACCACCCTCTACCACCATCACTACCACCCTCTACCACCATCACTATCACCCTCTACCAACGAGAAACAAAGCCAGACTGACTTAATGCGTGGGATGCTTTGTGTGGGTGCAGGCAGACATGTTCGGTTTGGTGAACCACTGTTAAGTCAATAAAAACTGAGGTGATGAATGAAAACTGGGACAAAATTTTGATGAAAAAAATCATCGAAAACCGAATTTGGCAAAAACCCAGTGCAAATGAAAACCCAGGTTCCACTGTACATGGCGAGGTACTGTACAATTAAAGAAAGCACACACTGCTAGTATGGACATTTGAGTTTGTTTACACTGGGATGTACGCACAAGGCAATGAGAGCTTGGGTGCTGTTTACACCAAGGATGACACTAGGCATCCTACTTAAAACAACAACCTCACCCATAGACTAAGTGCTGGGCGGAGGGGAAATATTCCCATCTTCAAACGGGATTTGGGGTAAAAATTGAACTCGTGCTTGTTTTTTTTTTTTTTTCAATTTATTGGGTGCTCAGTCACTGTCCCATGCAAATTGGACATGGATATACTATTTTAAACAGTACGTTTTTTACGAAAGTACTTGTCCCGGGAGCTAACGGGCCCCTGCCCCCAAAGCTAAATACATTTTTCCATACCTATCGTCCAAAAAAAAACCCAAAATTTTTTGGCAGGGGAAAAAACTTTTGGACATTTTATTCTCTGGTAGAAAACCAATCCAAATCAAAAAAAAACTACAGTATCTAATTCACCCAGCGGGCCCAATCAACAACACCCCCAACCAGGTTTTAAAAGGCGTAAAAAAATTTTTTTTGTTTTTTAAATTAATAACACCTCAAAACATATAACCAAAATTAAAGATATAAAAACAAAAGGGTTTTTTGATAAAATTGCAAAACTTAAAAAAAACCTTGTTTTTAAAAATTTATTTTTATTTATTTTTTTTTTCCCCAATTTTTGTGCACAAAAACAGGGGGTACAAAAAAAAACAGATAAGAGCATATGCCAAAGCCACTTATACAAAGCCAAGCAAAAGGGGCTGGTTTTAAAAAAAAATTTAAAATTTTTAACTAAGCAATGATTTTTAAATTATTATTATTAAAAAATAATCAAAAAGAAGCGCTAAGCCCAAACAATACAGCGCTGCTACTAAGCAATAAATAAACCCAGTGATAAAACTTAATGTAAACAGATAACTAAAAAAAGCACAAGTAGTATTACAAAGACGGGTCATATGGTGCTTTCGTTAGGTAGTAATTCTGTTGGGTATGTTTTTAAAAAAAAAAATCAAAAAATTTAGTTTGGGGGTTTTTGGGTTTTTAACTTTTTGTGATTAATTGTGAGAAACTTTTAAATATAAAATTTTAAAAAAGGGTTTAAATTTTTTCGGGGTATTTTTTTTGGTTTTGGGTAAAGTAAGTAATCTTTGAAAAGAAGACTTGAATTTAAAAACCCAGGTTTGTTTCTTTTATATTTCAGGAAATAAAAACCAATTTTTTTAGGGCCTTTTATTTTCATTTTTTTTGGGCATAGTTGAGATGGAAACGAGGAAAAACCCAAAGATGATCTTTTCCTTTTGTTTTATGGTCTTGTGTTTTTGTTGGGGGTTGGCAAGAAATGTTTGAGGGGGGGTTTTAAATATCAGAGTTAAGTTTTTCTATGGAATGAAATAGGTGCAAAAATAAGTATGGAGGGTTTTTTGGGTAGGGGAGGTATTTTTTAGTGTTTTGAATAATTGGTGGGGGGCCTCCCTGAAAGTGAAAAATTTGTTATCCTTTCCCAAACTGAAAAGCCTTTTTTGGGGTAATTATGGCCTGAGAGGGAAAAATTTGTTTTTGGGGCCCCATGCAAAAAATTTCCATAGGTGAGAAAAGGGGGTAAATAAAAAGAGGAAATAGGGCCAGGGGGGGCGGCCCTGTGGAACATAGAAACCTACCCCTTCGATAGTATGCCAAACAGTCTTGGGAAAATTTTCCTTAGAAATTTGATTTTAAATGTGAGAAATTTGGGCCCTATTATCAAGGTGGTTTTCCTAAAATTTTTCCCTCTTTTTATTTTGTAAATAGGTGACCCATTTATCATTATGTTAAGAGGGACCCTGTAGCTCTTTCCCAAAACTAAAAGAAGTGGGTTTTTTGTCAATTTTTATTTTAAAAATTTTTGTTACCCTCACCCCAGGTAATTTTTTTTTCGTAATTGGGAAATTTACAGTTTTGGGCAAGCGTGACGGGGCCGGGTGGGGAGAAGACGTATGTAGTGTCACTGAAAATAGTGGGGGTTTTGAGTTTTGCGAACTTTTGGGAAAAACCCCCATTTATGAAATAGGGAGAAAGAAAGGGGGCCAAGGACATTTCCCCCCTGGGGGAAAACCAAAACGGGTAATTTTTTTGTCCCAGAAAATTTTTTGCCCCCATTTGCGAACACAATTGGCTTCTGTTGCTGAGGTAAGACTTGGGGTATTGGGAGGAGTGCCCCCCTTAAACCATAGTGTAAAATTTTTAAACGGGGAAAAAGTCATGGTCAACTGAATCAAAAGCTTTTAACGAAAATTTCAATAAAGGGATCCCCATTTGGGACTTTTTTTTTTTCCTCTTTTGGGCAGTGTAAATATGTTTTTAGCATGTGAATAATACCAAATCTTTAAGTTTTTTTTATTAGCCTGAACCCAAAATTTGGGCCCGGGGGTTTGGGGTATTTTTTGGGGAGAAAAGGGTTAGGAGTAGATTCGTTTTTTAAAATTTAATTTTTTCGAAGATTTTGAGGGGGTAAAGTTGGAATTTGGCCTTTAGTTTTTTAAAACTCTGTTTGGTCCCCCTCCTTTGGATCGGGGTGCCCCCTTTGGGCTTTTTTGGGAAGTCCCGAGGAAGGTGGGGGAAATTCCCAATAAAATTTTTTAAAGGGGGTTGCAAGATTGGGATAGCACTTGTGCCCACTTTTTTTGTAAAATAAGGGGTGGGGAAAGGGTTTTTTTTAAATCTTTTGCCTTTTTTTTTTGGGTGCGTTAAAAAAGGGGGAACTTCGTTGGGTTTTCCCGGAGCTGGGAAACCCGTGTGTTGGGGTTATTGCCGGTGGGGTAGTCTTTTGGGTTTTGGGTTTTTTGGGAGGTCTCAAAACTAAAAACTTATTTTTTCTACGTTTTTCCTCATTAATACGATTTTAGTTAAAATCTGGTGTTTCGAAAATGTAATGCCCCCCGGTAAATGAGATTTCCCAATACAGTAAAAACCCCCATATCCACATTTCATTTTAAAGGGGTTTTTCCAGTTATCCGGGTTTACCAGGGCCCCCAAAAAAAACCCCTTTAATTTTGTTTAAAAAATGGCCCTGAAGAAACAATGATGCGGGTAGTTCTTCAAACCCCAAGAAAAGCCATAAAGTGTTTCCCCCACTCAGTGAAAAAGGCAAATTCTTGACTTACTTGCATAATTTACAATTAAATTTTTCATAGGTATCTATGAAAACCAAAAATGATAATTTTGGGGTGGGGCCACCATCCATGGATGGGGGGGGGAAGCCCCCCCCTACTTTTAATAGCTAAACTTTGCAAAAAAAAAACATGTCAAATACTTTAAACATTAGGGTTTTTACCTATGAAGTAATGGTTAGAAACTAATGCAAAAAACTGTTTCCCAAAAAACTAATGCCAAAAACAAGATACAAAAATTTTTTTTAAAGGATTCTCTTGTGGGGTTCCCGAGGAGGTTCCACTAACCCCCTGACTGAACAAAAATGGGGCTTTCAACTATAGTGGTCTTACCTTGGGCCAGCGGGTTTGGGTTTTGTCCTCTGACAAGGGCAGGTTCTGGGGACGAGACAACGGGTGAAGACGGCAAGTTCCACGGGCCCCCTTTTTTTGGTTCCTGAAATGCAGAGAGTATTGCATTAATAGTACGCAACATAAAACAGTAGAGTAATAAATTCCCTTATTACAGTACAGTAATAAACTAACATAAATTTTTTCACATAATTTAAGTATAAAGGGGGGAGAGAGAGGGGGGTCACCTAATCAATTTAAAAAAAAACAAAAAAGGGGGGATTATGAAGTTTAAATCCCAAGTCTTGCTCCCAAACCAACGTGGGATATCACTTTTTAAAATTTCAAACTTTTCAAAAAACAGTCCTAAATAAAAAATGAAAGTAATTTGAAAGAAATTTTATTATGTTAGATAACTTATGCTGACAGACTGAGTGGACCCCAACAAAAATTTTAAAACCCTTTTTTGAAAAAAAATTTTTTGTACTGGAGGGGGAAGGGGTTTCTACATTAGTTGTGGTGCAAAAATTTTAAAAAATTTTTTGTATCATGTTAGTTCATAAAGACATCCCCCGTGCAAAAAACTGCATTTTTTAAGAAGTCCATTTTTTAGGTTAGTTTTAATTTTTCTGACCACCTCTGACCCATAAAAACCCTTTTATTTTTTTTTTTTTTTTTATCCCACTGGCCGATTTTCCCAAACCCAAGGCAGGGGGGCCCAAAAAGGGAAAAAAATTTTACCATCAACACCTCCCCTCAAATGTCTGCCAGAAAGGGGGCTTTAAAAACCTTTCAGTTTTTAAAGTGGGAACATAAACACCCCCTTCAAGTGCAGGCAAAAGTACCTTTTTCCCCTCTCCAGGACTCCCAAATCCGGCCGCCGGTTTTCCCCCCCGAATCCCTTTTAAAATGTTACCCTTTTTCTCACACCCCCCCAACAGCAAAGTTCCCCCTATTAAAAACCATTTGGGCCCATTTACTCCTATCAAACAAAGCTCATCATTCCTCCGGGAAAAACCCAAACCCCTCCACCCCAAAACCCCTTTACCCCCTCCCCAACCTTTTTAGGGCCCACCCCTACCCCCCCCGCCTTTCCTTTCCCCTACAGACTGATACACCTTGAAGTCATTCTGTTTTTGGGTTTTTATTCCTCTACAAGGGCCCAACCACCTCAACAACCCCCTTCCCCCAAGGCCCCCCTGGACAAATTTTTTGGGAACCCCCCCACCTCCTCCTAACTTTTCCAAAAACGAATTCTTTTGCATTATATTCACACCACACATTGCCCTCAGACAGGGCATCCCCCACTGCCTCCACCTTCTCCTTTGCTGCAAAAATTCATCACCCACCTTCCAAAACCCCTAAAAGAGGTTTGGGAAAACTATACTCTTTAACTTTTCCCCCCTTTGCCTCCAAGGACAAAGTTTTTTGTCTCCACAGACCCCTAAGCCCACTCACATCTTTTTTTTCCCCCCCTCAATTCTATGATTCACCCCCACTTTCATAGAAAACCCCTTTCCCCTGACACGTCCCCCGTCCCAAAAAATCGAAAAACGTTCACCTCCCTCCATACCCCCCTCTCCCTCCAATCTATTTTCAACTTTTTCATCACCTAAATCTTTTTGTTATCCCCCATAACCTTTTCCCCTTTCCGTATTCACCTTTAATTTTTTTTCTTTGCCCCACCCAACCAAAAATTTTAATTTTCCCCCAATCTCTGCAACTTCTCTTCAGAATCCCCCCCAAAGCAAAAGTGGCATCAGCAAAGAGCACTGTGAAAAATTTCCCCCTTTTGGGGTGGGTTCTTTTTCTTTTTTAAAACCCCCCCTCTTGCCCCAAACCCCGCATTTAAATTCTCTTCCCAACCCCCTCTATAAAAATTTAAACAAACCCCCGGTGACAAACACACATCCCTTTTTCCCAAGGCCTACTTTTAAATGGGAAAAAAATTTTCCCCCTTTCCTACATACTCTAAAATTTAAACCTCACTAAACCTCGTAAAAAAATCTTTCCCCTTTCTTTCCCTAACCTACCTCCTACACCATACCCCCTTCAAAATCTTCCACATTGCCCCCCTATCCACCCTGTCATAAAGCCTTTTCCAAATAAAAAATGCCAAAAAAGACCTCCCTTAAACCTTCTAAATACGTTCACTTATATTTTTACTGAAAAAAACCCCGGTCCACAAAACCCCCTACCTTTCCTAAAGGGCCCCCCTTGTTCATCTGCTATCCTATTCTTTCCCTCTTAAATCTTAATTCTTTCAATTAAAACCTACCATACCTTTTCCAGATACACCCAAAAGACTTAACCCCCCATAATTTTGCACTCTCTTTTATCCCCTTTGCCTTTATACAAAGGAACTATGCATGCTCTCTGCCAATCCCTAGGTACCTTCCCCTCTTCCATACATTTATTAAAAAATTTGGGCACCAACCACTCCAAAACTAAAATCCCCACCTGCTTTTAACATTTCTATCTTTATCCCCATCAATCCCGGCTGCCTTACCCCTTTCATTTACCTACTGCCTCACGAACTTCCCCCCACACTCACAACTGGCTCTTCCTCACTCCTACAAGATGTTATTCCTCCTTGCCTAACACGAAATCACAGCTTCCCTATCTTCATCAACATTTAACAATTCCTCAAAATATTCCCTCCATCTTCCCAATCCCTCTAACTCTCCTTTAATAACTCTCCTCTCCTATTTTTAACTGACAAATCCATTTGTTTTCTGGGCCCTTTCTTAACTTGTTAATCCTCACTCCAAAACTTTTTCTTATTTTCAAAAAAAATTTGTTGATAACATCTCACCCACTCTCTCATTTGCTCTCTTTTTACATTGCTTCACCACTCTCTTAACCTCTCTCTTTTTCTCATATACTCTTCCTCCTTGCATCACTTCTACTTTTTAAAACTTCTCATATGCTAACTTTTTCTCCCTTACTACTCTCTTTACATCATCATTCCACCAATCGCTCCTCTTCCCTCCTGCACCCACTTTCCTGTAACCACAAACTTCTGCTGAAACACTCTAACACTACATTTTTAATCCTACCCCATACCTCTTCGACCCTTGCCTATGCTCTCATTTGCCCATCTATCCTCCAATAGCTGTTTATATTCTTACCCTAACTGCCTCCTCTTTTAGTTTATAAAAACCCTTTACCTCTCTCTTCCCTGATGCTATCTATTCTCCTTGTATCCCATCTACCTTTTACTCTCAGTGTAGCTACAACTAGAAAGTGATCTGAATATCTGTGGCCCCTCTATAAAAAATGTAAAATCCTGGGAAATCTACTCAGCATCTTTTATCTACCAATACATAATCCAACAAACTACTGTCATTTCGCCCTACATCATATCTTTTATACTTATTTATCCTCTTTTTCTTAAAATATGTATTACCTATAACTAAACCCCTTTCTATACAAAGTTCAATCAAAGGGCTCCCATTATCATTTACACCTGGCACCCCAAACTTACCTACCACACCCTCTCTAAAGTTTCTCCTACTTTAGCATTCAGGTCCCCTTACCACATTACTCTCTCACTTGGTTCAAAGGCTCCTATACATTCACTTAACATCTCCCAAAATCTCTCTCTCTCCTCTGCATTCCTCTCTTCTCCAGGTGCATACACGCTTATTATGACCCACTTTCTCGCACCCAAACCCTTTAGTTTAATCCACATAATTCTTGAATTTACACATTCATATTCTCTTTTCTCCTTCCATAACTGATCATTAACATTACTGCTACCCCTTCCTTTGCTTAACTCTCTCAGATACTCCAGATTTAACCCCATTTATTTCCCCCCACTGAAACTCTCCTCCCCCCTTCAGCTTTGTTTCGCTTAGAGCCAGGACATCCAAACTTCTTTTCATTCATAACATCAGCAATCATCTGTTTCTTGTCATCCGCACTACATCCACGCACATTTAAGCAACCCAGTTTTATAAAGTTTTTCTTCTTCTCTTTTTTAGTAAATGTATACAGGAGAAGGGGTTACTAGCCCATTGCTCCCGGCATTTTAGTCGCCTCATACGACAAGCATGGCTTACGGAGGAAAGATTCTTTTCCACTTCCCCATGGACAATAGAAGAAATAAAAAAGGACAAGAGCTATTTAGAAAAAGGAGAAAAACCTAGATGTATGTATATATATATATATATATGCATGTGCGTGTCTGTGAAGTGTGACCAAAGTGTAAGTAGGAGTAGCAAGATATCCCTGTTATCTAGCGTGTTTGAGACAGAAAAAGAAACCAGCAATCCTACCATCATGCAAAACAGTTACAGGTTTTTGTTTCACAGTCATCTGGCAGGACGGTAGTACTTCCCTGGGTGGTTGCTGTCTACCAACACTATTATTTTTAACACACTGGCTGCCTCCTACTGAGGGAAGGTGATCCAAAAGAGAAAATATGTTCACCTATCACTCATTCAATAGCTGTTTTGTCATACGTGTGCAGGCATCACAATTCTAAAGTTTCTCCAAACTGCATAATCCCCTTCCCTTTTTCAGGCTGCAGGCACTGTAATTCCCATCTCCAGGACTCAAAAGTCCAGCTAACCAGGTTTCCTGAATACCTTCATAAATGTTACTTTGGTCACACTCAAGCCCCTAGCACCCAAGATCTCTTTTATCTCTTCCCTCCATCCATTCCTGGGATGATCCCCACCCTCCTTCCTCCCACCCCAGATTTATATACCCTCTTGGTCATCCCATTCTGCTCCATCCTCTCTAAATGCCCAAAACACCTCAACAGCCCCTCCCCAGCCCTGAATTATACAGTACTTTTGGTAATCCTATTCTGTCTTCTAATTTCCATGCGTCAAATTCTATGCACAATGTTCAAAACACTCGTCTCCATCCACTACAAGCGTTACCAGCTACCCGCTTTTCCATCAGTCCATTAAACTGAACTTTTACCGTACATGTTTTTCCTAATTGATTACCATTAAAGATTATGAAGAAAATGATGAGTTTAAAAGTGTACCTGAACTTCTCGCAGACTATAAAACTCATTTTCACATTTATCACAGAGATAAATGTCATTGGCTGGGGGCTGGAACATTGCAGTGGTACCACTGGACCCTTTACGTTCACCAGAGTGAGAAGCCGTCGACAAAAGAAGTTTCTTGGTAGAGTCCCTACTGCGTCCATCTTGGCTGAACTTGTCATAATCCTGAAAACAAAGTACAATAATAATATTTATCAACTGCAAACAAGAAAAAAGTTTTCATTATTAGATGAGAAAAATGATAAACAGAAAAGTTTCTTGAGATGTTGATCAAAGACAACAATTTTTTTTACAGGAGACTTAGAAAACTGTTATATATGAACATGAGTCGGTGTGAGTGGGTGTGAGTTAGACATGAATAGCTTGGGCCAGTAGGCCTGCAGCAGTGCTCCTTCCTTCTTTAACAGATGTTACTTGAACCTGCCTAGCATGGGCCAATAGGCCTGCTGCAGTGCTCCTTTCTTATGTTCTTATTAATAACTCTGGTATAAACAATGAAAGCTTGCACCATACATTCACTTCTTACAGAAAGTAACGAAGCCACAACGAAAAGATAACACTGCCACATACAATGATGCCTTAATCACAACTAATAAACCTAGGAATAGCAAAACCTACAGAGAGGTACAGCTCTTGAGTTTATCTAGAAGTCTTCGCAAATTCACTCTTCAAATGTTTCCCTATGGTTGCTTCCTAAGTCTGGGGGTGTGTACAGCAGCACATCTGGGACTTGAAGAGCAGCCACCTCCATGTGTCAAGTTCTGGGTATTTTGAAGGACTGTAGGAAGTCATACAAAATACATAGTTGAAAGCTCCTCACAGTGTACGTATATTTTCTGTCTGGACAAAATATATAGAATCAAATATGATGAAATCTCATTACACAAGCACTGTATGATCCATAAGGGCTTAATGCTCACAGGGAATATAATAATAATAAAGTAATAATAATATATATCACATGTAAGATTAGCTATCAACATCTTTATAGAAATATAACTATTTTTTTTCTCGTTTTCCTCGGCATACAAGTGCAATCGAATCACTCTACTTCCTTTGGACTAACCACAGATTAACACCAGAGGGTTGATAACCAGGATAACTCAAGAAAGCCAGTGAGGCTTATTAAAGTACAGAAGCCCTAAAAGAGTATTTAAGTGGTGCCCTAAACTTACTGCAGACTTTCCAGATGAAGCCTCGAGTGTGTTGTATGCACTGAACAAACACAGAAGAGCCATTACACTACCTGGCGAGAAGAAGGGTTTAATGATCTTGCTATCCCACTACTGCTGTTCGGAGTGCAACTTGTAAATGGTCCAAGTCGGACCAAAACGTAGTCGTGTGCTCCTCTCTCCCATGTGCGGGCTACTTGTGTATTGTTCCAATCACAGTATTGTGCCTTTTTTGTTGAATGAATTATGGTAGCACTGACACAACTACATGGTTTGCTTATCTAGTATTGGCGGAGTAAGACGAAGCCAGGCCTTCAGCACGTCTGACCCCTATCCGAACCCACACCCAGGAAAATTAATTGAACCCACACCCAGGGCAGAGTAGCTGAGCCCATATCCAGGACAGAATTCCCAAACCCATTCCCAATACGGAATGCCTGAACCCATTCCTGGGACGGAATACCTCAAACCCATACCTGGGAAGGAATGCCAAACCAATACCTGGGCCAGGGTGGAGTAATGAATCCACACTTGTGGTGGGGGCAACGGACCCCCACACTCGTGGTGGGGGCAATGGACCCCCACACTCGTGGTGGGGGCAACAAACCCCCACACTCATGGTGGGGGCAACAGACCCCCACACTCATGGTGGGGGCAATGGACCCCCACACTCGTGGTGGGGGCAACAGACCCCCACACTCATGATGGGGGCAATGAACCCTCACACTCGTGATGGGGGCAACGAACCCCCACACTCATGGTGGGGGTAATGAACTCCCACACTCATGGTGGGGGTAATGAACTCCCAAACTCGTGTTGGGAGTAATGAACCCCCACACTCGTGGTGGGGTCAACGAACCCCCACACTCGTGGTGGGGGTAATGAACTCCCAAACTCGTGGTAGGGGTAATGAACTCCCACACTCGTGGTGGGGGTAATGAACCCCCACACTCGTGGTGGAGGTAATGAACCCCCACACTCGTGGTGGGGGTAATGAACCCCCACACTCGTGGTGGGGGTAATGAACCCCCACACTCGTGGTGGGGGTAATGAACCCCCACACTCGTGGTGGGGGTAATGAACCCCCCCACTCGTGGTGGGGGTAATGAACCCCCACACTCGTGGTGGGGGTAATGAACCCCCACACTCGTGGTGGGGGGTAATGACCCCCACACTCGTGGTGGGGGTAATGAACCCCCACGCTCGTGGTGGGGGTAATGAACCCCCACGCTCGTGGTGGGGGTAATGAAACCCCACACTCGTGGTGGGGGTAATGAACTCCCACACTCGTGTTGGGAGTAATGAACCCCCACACTCGTGGTGGGGTCAACGAACCCCCACACTCGTGGTGGGGGTAATGAACTCCCACACTCGTTGTAGGGGTAATGAACTCCCACACTCGTGGTGGGGGTAATGAACCCCCACACTCTTGGTGGGGGTAATGAACCCCCACACTCGTGGTGGGGGTAATGAATCCCCACACTCGTGGTGGGGGTAATGAACCCCCACACTCGTGGTGGGGGTAATGAACCCCCACACTCGTGGTGGGGGTAATGAACCCCCACACTCGTGGTGGGGGTAATGAACCCCCACACTCGTGGTGGGGGTAATGAACCCCCACACTCGTGGTGGGGGTAATGAACCCCCACGCTCGTGGTGGGGGTAATGAACCCCCACACTCGTGGTGGGGGTAATGAACTCCCACACTCGTGGTGGGGATAATGAACCCCCCCACACTCGTGATGGGGGTAATGAACTTCCACACTCGTGGTGGGGGAAATGAACCCCACACTCGTGGTGGGGGAAATGAACCCCACACTCGTGGTGGGGGTAATGAACTCCCACACTCGTGGTGGGGGTAATGAACTCCCACACTCGTGGTGGGGGTAATGAACTCCCACACTCGTGGTGGGGGTAATGAACTCCCACACTCGTGGTGGGGGTAATGAACCCCACACTCGTGGTGGGGGTAATGAACCCCACACTCGTGGTGGGGGTAATGAACCCTACACTCGTGGTGGGGGTAATGAACCCCACACTCATGGTGGGGGTAATGAACCCCACACTCGTGGTGGGGGTAATGAACCCCACACTCGTGGTGGGGGTAATGAACCCCACACTCGTGGTGGGGGTAATGAACTCCCAACATTTATGGTTGGGTAACTGAATCCCCAGATTGAAATCCTGACAAATTACGCCCCTGCAGATTGGAATCCTGGATTTTAAGCCCCTCACAGATTGAATTTCTGGATTTTAAGCCCCTCCCAGACTGAAATCCTGGATTTTAAACCCCTCCCAGACTGAAATCCTGGATTTTAAACCCCTCCCAGACTGAAATCCTGGCTTTTAACTCTCCCCAGGTTGCAATCCTCTCTCTGAAGTCCCCACGAGAACAGCCAGAAAGACAAGAAGTTCAAAACAACGTACAAATTTGAGTAAAAGTGACTTTTGCATAAGTGTTAAGTCATAGTAAAGAATTAACGTTTACTCAGGAAGACAGGTTAGTACATTCAAGATGTGCTCACATATGTACTTCACTCAATAATAATAATAATAATAATAATAAATAATAATAAAAATAATAATCTTTATTTCTACGAGTATATACTATATAGAAAGCGCCTGGTTATACAGAGCATTTCGAGGAAATTAAGTTAATGTCATCAGGATGCGAACCACACCGGTCGGCTAATACCCAGGTACCTATTTACTGCTAGGTTGAACAGGGACAGCAGGTGTCCTGAAGGAAACACGGCGAAAGGATGTGGCTACCATACTTCACTCAATGGGCAGACTATCATGGTACCCTATGGGCATTTATTCTCATTTCACTACGTTCATTTTATTATGATATTTCCAGCTTCAGTTTCTAAACGTTCCCTGTGAGCCTGGGTACTGCGAAAGTATGTTGCGGCCACAGGCGCCATACCCCCCTGTATGGCACCTATCTTCCACACCTGACTACTATACTACACACTACGGTCTCCTGACCTCCATATAGTGTCTTGTTGCTACGGTACAATCTTGTATCATATTGTATCTAGGTACTTACCTAACTGCGTATGCAGGAGCTGATTCATAATTCCCGGCCTCGCCTCTTAAGCTACCTGCAGGCTCTGCTCATTCCTGACCCTAGGATCCTGTCGCGCCTGTTCTTGAAACTGTGTATAGTTTTGCTTGCGCTTACTCCATCTAGTGCATTACACTTAACAACTCAAGATTGAAAAATAACGTAAATATCCTTATGGAATCCAGTTGTACGCCTGTTAACCCTTATGGGGCTCAGTTCCTTGGCATTTTGTCTATACTCTTGCGCCACCGTCCACAGGATGGATATGGGGGTGCACAATAAACTAGCCACTTCGGGGAAAAAATCAAATTTGCATTTTTAGCTGCTCCTCGTGCTCCCTGACCCCTCCAGCATTTCAAACAGCCTCTCGCTATCCACTATGTAATCGTCTCGAGTATTTTGAATGCCATGATCACGTCCCCCCTGGTTCTAGACTCCTCTAGTGATGTTCCAGTATTAATTTCGTTGCAAACTTTTATCTTTCCTGGCTTCCTTGAATGGTTAAGTAGGTGTGGGCTCCATACTGGCGCCGCAAACTCCAAGACAGCTCAAGATGTTACACGCTGAGCTTTTCTGCGTGTGTGCATTTTCGATGTTCGTTTTACATACGACATTATTTACCTGAAGTCAATTCCTGGGATCATTTTCCTCTGACCACCTATTATATAGCTGTCGTAAGAAACGAGTAGTGGTAAGAGAGTTAGGTACCTTGGCAACAATGAACAGGCTGCTCACCTCTCTTATACCTGCGAGAAAGTTCACCATGAACTCGTGTAACCTTTGTGTCAAGAGTGAGGAAGCCAGGAAAGACCCAACACATGTACAAAGAGCGGGGAATGGATTACATAGACAGATTTTAACCATCCCAGGAGGCAGGACCTGAGGTGACATAGTCAAGACATACAAAATACTAAGGAGGCTGA